AAAAAATGGAGTTCAACATGCATGTTTAACATGTTTTATAATAATTAATAGAATAATTTCAAGCACCAAAATTAAAAATAATATCATGACATTTTATGTGTCAAATTAATCTATTAATGATATTTTCTCACAGATCAAATGAGATTAAGACGAAAAAGATTAATAAGAAGGAGGTTAACTATAATTCAACGTTGTCAGATCAAAAAAATCTCACCAAATCTAAAAGAGAGTGTTTTACACAGATTAAAATGAGGAAATATAATCAGCAAATTTTGTTTAAATTTGGTGAATAAGTAAAATCGCAATTTCTCAGGGAAAGTCTTCGCTTTCAATTAACATAAAATTAATACTTAGTTTTGTTTCGTTTCATTTCTTAAACCAATCGCATATTAAGGTTTTTTTGTAAACTATCAATAAATAAATAAAAAACTTGCACCAAAAAATCGGGACATTGAACCACTTACAATGCAACAAATTTGCAGCTACTGTAATAACATGTTACATTGAACCATGTTTTTATTAAAGTTGAACCTGGTATCGTGTTATTAAATGTAGAAGTACAACGATATGGTTCAACTCACTATAATAAATTTGCATCAAATTTCAACATGGTATTGTTTAACAGCTCCAATATTTCTAACAGTATAATTCTAACTTTATTTTTATCTCCAATTAATCTTTATTGTACGAATGTTCCCTACTAAATGGAGTCCCTTTCTTATAAAGAACTATGAAAATTGTTTAAAGAACCAAACCAAAATATCGATACATTGAACCATTTAAGGTGCAACGAGTTTGCAGCAAACGTTATAACATGTTATATTGAACCATGTTTTTATTTAAGTTGAATCATGTATCCTGTTATTTAATTATTAAGTACAGCGATCAACTCACTATAATAAATAATACTATAATAAGAGTGTAATTCAAATATTTTTTCTTATCTCCAATTAATCTTTATTGGACGGATGTTCCATATTATATGGAGTCCTTTTCATATTAAAAACTATAAAAATAGATAAAAGAATTCAGCATTTAATTTTGAATTCGGTAGTTATTTTAACACAGTGGTTTCCAACTGGCGGCCCGGGGGCCGCATCCGGCCTGCAAAGCTTTTTCTTGTGGACCGCAAACTAAAATATATTAGTTGTCAGTTTTTTGCGGACAATTTTTGCAAAAAATCTGCATGGGTTTAAAATACTTTTCTCGTTAATAAAAACCTAATATCTTTGTTTCTGTGAAATTTAACATACCAACGGTGAAAAAAATTTTATTTCTCAGGTTTTGCATCCAAGAAAATATTTATTCAAATACAAAATAATCGTGTATCTTGCTCATTTTTCTTGTATTTTGTGAATATAATTTAGCATGTGTGTATCAGAAATTTTCTCGAAGAAATTCTCCGATTTAACTTTTTGAGAAACCACTCATTTTGGACGAAAATATTTACACACATTTGTAAATTTAAAATGTAAGTATCTATTCTCTGGTGGTTGCAGCAGACAAACCTCAATTTTCTCATTGAACATTTTGTGTGCTACCATGTAAGTTTTAATACCAACCTTTTTAAAGTTTTATATCGTAACAACACAGCACATTAATTGTTTAATACATAGGTGCACGTTAAAGTTATTGTAGCCCGAATTTTTTAATATGCAATTAAATATTTTCAAACATCTACTTCTTATTTTAATTTGTAATTCAATACTTTTGTTTTGTACAACTTGGTAAAAATCTGACAGTAATATTTAATGTTCCTTGAAACATATACGAGTCCTACATAAAATTTTGATAAAGCTGCGGCCCGCCATTTGATTTGTGTTTTTAATTGTGACCCCTGGCCTCATGTAAGTTGGAAACCCCTGTTTTAATACGATTGAATAACACAATTTCTGCTTTTGACTCTTTACTATTCATATTTAAATTATCTTCTCTTATTTTTGAGCTCTTTTAACTTGATTTTTAATTAGAAATCTTCGTTACTGATTCTATCTTTTGTAGCGTAACTTCTGATGCGTGGAAAGGGTAAAAAAGAACATACATTTTAAATTGCCGAAAATCAATTTCCCTTGTTTCTGCAACCAAACCATCATTACTTCCTCTAACGAATTTAGTCACGGTGGCCTCGTTTCTTAAAAGCGATAGAAGAGTTGATAGTTACCTTACAATTGAAAGAAGAAAATAATAGTATTTGCAACGATGGAGAATTAACGTTATCACTGAAATCTTATTAAGTTTAGTTCATTTCCGGCTTTATAATATGCACTGGTATCGATAACTTTTTTCCCTATAATCTGAACGGTGCCATAGACTTTCAAATTGGAAAGAAAAGATAAAACTATTACTATTTTAAATAATGAAAATCGATTAGTATAAATCACGTTAAGGATACGTCACTGTTTCTAATTATAGATTCTAAAATAGTTTCGTTTCTGTTAGCTAATAAATAACACGCTGTTAATTGATAATATCTGAATAAATTTTGATTTCCAGGACTTCAAAAATTAAATATGAGGTGCAAAACAAATTCGTAAAAGTTCTGAGTAATTAACAAACATTTCGAAAGGAGATTAATATCGCACTATTATGAATTGTTTCTTCGTGTGCTTTTGAACAGATCATAGTAGGAAAACGTCTCTAGCCGCGTACGATGACATTTCCGCGCATGGGTTCCCATACAATTTTAATTCTAGTGATCTGTCCAAACTCCCGTAGAAGTTTATAGCAACATTTACTCGGCTCTCTGTTACGTATAACATTTTTAAACTTACGTATTTTGACAAAAATGGAATAAAAATGTCATTTAAAAACAAAACTGTAGCTTAAGGAGCAAAAATAATTCCAGATTAGTTTCCCAAAGTTATCTTTGGTAACAGACCAGAAAGTAACAGATCGGACATTTCTCTTGGACCAAAAAATGGACACAAAATAATTTATATGTACCAGGAATTTCTTTAAAAAAGCAATGAAATATTCTAGATTGGTTACAAAAAATATTTTTCAATCCATAAGTGTTTTGAAGTAATTTTAAAACTTATAAAATATAAGAGCAAAATTTGATATTGCCGCTTTGCACAGCCCATTTTTAACACCGCTCTTTAATAAAAATTTATAGAAAATAAAACATTTGAAAAATTCTTATAATATTATAGATAATAACTCTTAATCTCAAGTAGTTTTGAAAATCATAAATACCTAAGGCAAAGTCATTCCAATAAAAAGTATTTTTTGTTAGACATCAAAAAAGTTTCAAATTTGAAATTCACCTATGAAAATTAAACAGCACAAAGAAGCTTATATATTTCTTGAAAAAAAAAATTCCAGTTCTGCATTGGAAATTCTGTAAATGCCATTAAGTTGTAAAAATGTTGGTAAGCTTTACTAGTTAGTACCTCTTAACAATCTTTTTCTTTTGAATCAGCAAATAGGTTGCATACGAATTATATCTAAGCACCCTACACTCTCAAGAAATGAAACATAATATCTGTACCTCTTCGACCAATTTAAGTTGTGAATTTGCTGCTATCTAATATAACCTTCATTAGTTTAAGTAAAACCATACACAGAGAAAAAAAGTAAGGTCAAACCTACCAGAATATGGTAAGATTTACTGTGTTTCTGGCTCTATGGAAACACCAAGAAGCTCAGTAATTTTTACCGAAGTGCTTTGATAATGATTTCAGTAAAACTAACGGTAAAACAAAGTTTTATATTTTGAGATAAAATTTGGTAAATGTAATAAAATTTAGTAATTTTATCGTGATACCTTAGAGCATAGGATAAAAACCACATTTATCTGGTTAAATTTACTTTTTAGTTATATATTTTTTGCAATCTGTATGGAATAAGTACTGCAATTATGAAAACCAGAATTTCTATTGAACCTTTAGCATTTGAAAGGAAAAATTGCTAAATGAATGGTTTAAATACCGTATAATTTGGTTTTCTTAAATAGAATTATGTTATATTTTTTCTTCTTTTTTAAGCCCGTAAACTGTCTTTACCATACATTACAGTAGTTGTACCGGAATTTTTTTCCCGAGTATGGTGTGCTTAAGTTTAAAAAGAATTAATTTGCACGGTAATATTATTAGGCTCGGCCTCCTAAAAGGGTTGAAGTCATTCTAAAATTTCTGTCATTGTAAAATAATTTTTTTTTTATTTAATTCTTCCTTTTCATTATTTTACAAAAATAAAATTTAGAAGCATTATTGTGTATCTATATACTGTTAGTTTCTTGTTCATGCTGCTATTATCTATAATTATTTCTTGTTTAGTGGCGTTTTAGATTATAAAAAGGGAAATTTTTATATCTATTTCTTACCATTAAGAAACTGATAGTTTTTTACATGGGCATAAAATTAAATTAAATGCTTTACGCGTGTAATAAAAAATTGATCTTTGTTTTGATTCCGATTTTATTGTTATGAGAAAATAATTTTAATCGATTATTCATCTCAATAAAAAAATAATTACTTGACTTAAGATTAATAAAATTCTAAACAAAAAACTTAAAAAATCATTAAAATCTCTGAGAGATTATGAATTTAATCAGCTTTACTGGGATATTACACTGAAAATTCGTTAAACTGTTCTAAAAATAAACAGATAAATTGTACTATCACCTTTAAACTTAAATTTCAAAATACTCAATTTAAGAAGATTACGAGAATATAAAAGATTTATAACGTGAGAATTTGAATTATTTGATGAAAAACAGGAATCTGCATTAGATTTATGAAATTGATGATCAAACAACAGGGAATGTTGCGCTTCATATGTTTTACCTGTTTTTTGTCACATTTCATCGAGTTTAGTCATAAAACTATCATGCGTTACGTGCATAAGTAAACGTTATGAACTTAAAGTGCAAAAAACAAATACATTTTATATTAAGGCTAAGTGAAAAATGAATATGAAGTGTTAAATAGTTGCTCTTTAACTTTTATAAGTATTATGAAGTACTTCTTGAAGTTGCTTACATTATTATTTTCTTTTAGATGAAAACAAATTGCGTCAAAACTGTGGTTGCTTTATACCCATTTCAAGCCATAGAAGATGGGGATTTAACATTAGTCAAGGTGAGTCCAAATTTTTTTCTTCCCTAATAAAGAACTAATTAATTACTTAAATTAGCTTTAATTTGAAGAGTTTTTTTTATTGAACTTTAATATAAATAAGTGTTCGTTTAAACAAATTGAAAGTTAAATAAATAATCCCAAGAAACTGAAATGGTAAGATATTTTATTGATTAAAAACTTCATTGCTTCGAAAATATCCAAATCGAAATATAAGTCAAGATGTTTCGAGTGTTCATAAATAGGTGCCCATTCTCAAGACTTGTTTGACGTCATCCATATCTGCCAGGTCATGAAGATGGACACCTACTTTTGAATGCTTGAAACATGTCGATTTTCATTTCGATCTGCACATGTCAATAAAGTTTTTAGTCAATTAAATTTCGAGTTAATTTACTCCTTAAAGAGCAATAAAAAAAATCTAGGAAAAATCTGAGCGATATATCGAGAAACGGCGATATTGATATCGTTTAATCGATCAGTGTTTAAAATGTATTGTGATTGACAAGAATGAATCTAATGATCAATATTTTTTTTCCAGAAAAATTCAGTTTCGAATACATTTTTGAAACAAAACTCTATTTGTAGTTCGTGAAACTACAATATCGTATATTTTATATTTATCAGCAGCAAAAGTCTAACGATAAATTTTTTTTCCAGAAAATTTCAGTTTCGAATACATTTTTGATACAAAAATCTATTTGTAGTTCGGGAAACTACAATATCGTATATTTTATATTTATCAGCAACTATTTTTTCTTTTTTTTCTTTTCTTTTTGTCAGAAAAAAACAAAATGTTTTTACAAAGTTTAGAGAAAAAAACAGCAAAAAAAAAAGTGAAAAATGAGATGATCCAAAAATAATCCTTCAAATTACACATTACAAAACCCAAAATTTATTTAATAAAAAATAATATTCTATTTTAATATAGACTAAGCTGTAAAATAAATATATAGATGAACGGTAAGTGTTACTTTTAAATATTTTAAAATTCTTTTAATGACAAAGTATAGGGCATTTCCCGTTTTGTATAATGTAAACAGCAGTTTTTATTTTTGTTTATTACTGACATATTTCGCATCTTTCAGTATTTTTTTTTCCTAGATAAATTAAATTTCCATGATCCACAAATGTCCTGTTAATTTTATTAATTTGATTACGTGTTATATTTGTTAAGTGCAGTAAAGTCACATCCGACTTGATTGCCTAATACCCTTTTGAAAATTAATGTAGTTAAAATGTAATACCTTTGTAATGAAAAGTTTGTACATTATTAGTGATTAAAATATAAAAAAATGAATTGTTAGAGGAAGCTATTGTTCTGCAGTTATAACTAATCTACTTTAAATATTTTTAAACACCAATTGTTCTATAAAGTTTAATGTTGGTGACCTATTAGCTGTTTTATGTTCCTCTTTAACATAAAAATATGAATTGCCATAGTAAATGCTATTCAAGTATTACTTTGTTAACATCGCATTTTATTGTATCACAAGGTTTAAAATAGAAAGAAAATATTGCGGAAAGAATACAAGCAAAATAATCCCTTTTCATTTAAAATATTTTGTTAGTTTTTTATAACGTTTTATTGCTTTACTGTCGATTATAGACATTTAATTAGACTGGTTTATTGATGTGTTTAAAAAGAGGAATTTATTTATTCCTCATTAAGCAAAAAGCATTCGATATCAGTGAATTAGCTCGGATAAGGAACTAGTTTCTAAGTTAATGCACTGTCTGATTTAAATCATTTATATTAATTACTGATAGCAAATGAATGGAATTTATATTTGTTACAATTTATTACTTTACGATATAATTCAACAGAAAAAACTTCTTTTGTGTTTTATATTCTTTGAACGTATACAATATTCTTTCACGGAAGAGAATGATGAAAGCACATGGTGACGTAGGGGATTCATTGTTTTAATTTAAAGTTTAATGGCACTAAAGGCGGTACCGTCTATGCTGACTATTGTGTTATTAAACTATACCCTCTATGCTGTGCTCTATTCTGTGCTATATTCAAACTACATGGTTAGAAAATTTAAAACTTGTTGAAGTACAATATCGCCAACCTTAATATGGTCTCAATTTCAACCTCATTATTGTACTTAATCTTCTTCACGTGATACTAGTGTTAAACTCAGTTCATTGACACCTAATTAAGGTAACAGCAAATTTAAACCGTATTATGGTTAATACATTGAAACGAATTTCCTAACAGTGTACGTTCTCAATATAATTTATTCAAATTGAGCTGTATTTATAAACTTCTTCACTTGATACTAGTGTTTAATTCAGTTCATTGACACCTAATTAAGGTTACAGCAAATTTAAACAGTATTATGGTTAAACATTGAAGTGAATTTTCTGACAGTGTACGTTCTCAATATAATTTATTCAAATTGAGCTGTATTTATAAACTTCTACTCTTGATACTAGTGTTTAATTCAGTTCATTGACACCTAATTAAGGTTACAGCAAATTTAAACCGTATTATGGTTAAACATTGAAGCAAATTTTCTGACAGTGTACGCTCTCAATATAATTTATTCAAATTGAGCTATATTTATAAACTTCTTCACTTGATACTAGTGTTTAATTCAGTTCGTTGACACCAAATTAAGGTTACAGCAAATTTAAACGGTATTATGGTTAGACATTGAAGCGAATTTTCTGACAATGTACATTCTCAATAAAATTTATTCAAATTGAGCTATATTTATAAACTTCTTCACTTGATACTAGTGTTCAATTCAGTTCGTTGACACCTGATTAAGGTTACAGCAAATTTAAACCGTATTATGGTTAAACATTGAGGCGTATTTTCTAACAGTGTAAGTTCTCAATATAACTTATTCAAATTGAGCTATAAATAATATCTTACAGAAAAATAAAACAAGGCTAGAAGATTAGTAGCGTATTTTGGGATCGTGGTAGCCGTATTTGCCTGAAGAAGGTAATACTCGAAGCAGTAATATTAAAATCAAAACGTATCAAACAATAGTTAGCAACTATGATAGTTAACTATAAAAAACAATAAAATTATAATAAAAATATTCATAACTATTTCTAATAACACTACTGTTTCATAATAAATTATAAATTAATTGTAAAGCCATGTAGATAGATAGAAATTTGTAGGCTTTATATAGGTTAGAAACTATTAATTATTAATTTAAAAGAATTTCGAACTGGTTTAGTTAAAAATAGTTTTGAGTTATAAAAGCAAAAAAAAGAAAAATCTGTAATGCTAAAACTTTTACGGAATTTTAGCTTAATTTTCTATATTGATTCATTACAATTTCGATTCATATTCGAAATTATTATCAGTTCTTAATTTAAAATCATTTAAATCTGTTTTGTTTAAAAGTATTATTGAATTATACTAGCAAAGAGAAAATCTGAAATACTAAAAGCTTTTGAGGTATTTTATTTTAATCTTCTGTATATATCCGTTGCAGTTTCGATTCAGATTCGAAATTATCAGTTCCAAAACATTTCATAGTGATTTGTTTAAAAATATTATTGAATTATAAATGCAAAAAGAAAATGTGGAATGCTGAAAGCTTTTGCGGAATTTTAGCTGAATGGCTATATTGAAGTCTCAAGTTAGATTAGAAATAATAAGATCCTTATTTAAAACATTTTATACTGGATTGTTAAAAATATTATTGAATTATAAACGCAAAGAGAAAATCTGGAATGCAAAAATCTTTAACGAAATTTTAGCTTAATCGTCTATATGGATTCACTATAGTTTCGATTTAGGTTAGAAATTATTATCATTTTTTAGTTTAAAAACGTTTTAAACAGCTTTATTTAAAAGTATTATAAAAGCAAAGAAATAATTCCGAATGCTAAAATCATTTACTGAATTTTATCTAAATCGCTGTATCTATTCATTACAATTTCAATTTTGATTAGAAATTATTTTCAGTTCTTCTTTTGAAAATATTTCGAATTTGATTGTTTAAAAATATTATTGAATTATAAAAGCAAAGAATAAATCTCGATTACTAACTGATTTCTCGAAATCTTAGCTAAATCACTATATAACTCTAAGACAGTTTCAATTGAGATTAGAGATTATTATAAATTTTTAAGCTAAAAACAATTTAAATTGATTTACCTAAAATTTAAATTTTTAAAGCAAAATAAAAATCTGGATTATTAAGAGTTCTCACGGAAATATAGTTTATAGAAATCTAATTCCATCAAAATCTATATGGTATTAGTATTTTGCCTGTCAACAAATCTTATAATTAATAAAGTTCATCGATATACTTCAAGTTTCTCATCATCTTAAATTTCAGAGTGGTCAAATATAATCACCTAATCTAAAAATCCAGGTCAGATTTTAAAACGATTTTAGTATGCGGTTCGCTGATGCGAATCGACCGAAAAATGAAAAATATTTTTAAATAAGGAAGATGAGTTTGTTTTATTCATCCAAGGATTAGAAGGAAGTGGTCTTCCTTAAATTGTGAAATGTTTTTAGAGGAATTAAGTATAATTGAAACAAAACTAAACTCATTTTAATTTCTGTTACTTACAATAGAGGAAGTGTGGTAATAAGAGTTATTTATCCAGTTTTCCAACTGTAACTGATTTAAAACTAAGAATTTATTAAAGCCGGAAGTTTTGTTTGTTTACAATTTCGAACACAAATTTTGGAGTATAACAAAGAAATAATTTTTGTTGCGTAATTCCATTGTCAAGTTGAGCAAATATTTTAATTCCACTACACATAAAAGTTGTATTTAAACTAAGTAACTGTTAAATACTCGAGGGATTTAGCATTTTCACGTAGTATCCTGCACGTTTACGTACGTTTGTTCCGCAAGAGCTCTGTTAAGAAGGGAGATTGTTCTGTAGTAAATGTGAGCAGCACAGAACATACGTACGCAAAAATGCGGGTGGATGTTAGGGGAAAAGGATAAATCTCTCCAATAATTGACATGAAACCGGTTAGTTGTTAATAAGTTACGAAAAATATT